TTGGCACAACTCCCGTCGAGATAAATGGTTTCGACAAGTGAACAAGCCTGAAACAATAATGAATTAGAGGTCAAAGAGTGTTAAACATAGAAGAGATTGGTTTATATAATGAAATCTTACGGGGCGAGAAATTCACAGAAAGATGAAACCGCAGCTGCGACTTCGCTGTAATTCTCAGGTGTTGCTGGAGCTGTTACGTCTACAATCTGCATCCCAGGTGTTACAGGAACTGCTTCATCTATGGCATGGGTTTTGAGCATCTTATTGACTGAAGATACAGAGACACTTATATGCGCAGTCCGTTGGAAATGAAAGGCGAATCCGACTTTAAGAAGCTCGTGGTCTAGTTTGTAACCGAGCGCATAGAACAAACGCAGGGCGTTCTGGCTTACTTTACTTTCAACCATAGTTCTAACCATAACAGAGATTTGATCAGCTCCAGCACCTCTCATCGCACCTCCAACATGTTTAACAATCCTATTGGATCAAAGAAAGATTCTTGATTTAGATGAATGAAGCAAGAGCATACATATACAAGAAGAAGAAGAAGGTGTACCATGTGGGCTCTGATTGATCAAGATCACATAAAAGCCTAACTTCTGAGGACACAACTCCTGAAATCGAAGGAAGATTATGAAGTCACAAAACTGTGAGAAAATTTTGGAAATTCCAATTGGGGGCTTACCAAGATTTGGGACGCTTTTCAAGCAAAACTCATGAACTCTCAAGCGTTCGCGTTGCACACCACAAAGACCTTGAAGAAGGATCTCAAGCGCTTCAACATGCTGCAAGAAACTGATTTGTATAAATTTCTCAAAACCTAAATACCCAATTTCTCAAGAAACGCACCTGTGTCTCAATGATTCCTTGAACTACACACTCCATTGAATTGTTTTCTTCACTTGATACAAAATCTTCTGCTCCACAAGCATCGATCTACAGAAATTTCTTCTAGGTATACATACATACTCCAACGGAGAATTAAGCTATTCTAAAGTAGTACTAATTTTGAGGTTAAATCGACAAGGCCTATTAGCTCAGCTGGTTAGAGCGTCGTGCTAATAACGCGAAGGTCACAGGTTCGATCCCTGTATAGGCCATTCCTTTTTTTTTATTTCTCGAATAAAGAAATACGACGTCAGATCGAGGACTCACTGGTATGATTGTGGCCCCCATCACTATAATGGCTAATCAGTTTCTTACACGTGTAACAATCATTCATCAAGTCCACGTGTACTGACTGACATTCGCACGTTTTGTTTCCGATTGCATATTTTTAATCTCTGAGTCAAACG